TTATTCCTTTTGATTTTTTTTAAGCAGCTCTCAAGCAAACGATATGCAGGTACGACTGCCGAATAAATACTCCGTACATCTCCAAAATGCGAAGGCCACGGCCGGCCGCGCAAAGGTCAGCTCTCGAAAGCCGAGAACGCGGGCTTGACACGTATGTGCGTAAAATTCGCGGGCGGGCGAAATTCGATCGGGAGCTGAAGCGGCTTGATTATCATGCCCAAAATGTGAAGCCCATTGGCGAGCCAGGAGTGCTGGTGGGATAAACAGTATGCGTGTGGAAAATCGCGGGCGGGCTTTAACGGACGCCGGTTTGGCTGCTGTGCGGACCGGCCAGCGGGATGCCCCCGCTACTGCGAAACGCCACAGCGTGAAGCAGTGTGAAGTCGAGCGGGCGCGTCCGCAGGTCATTTGGCATGCAGGAGTGCACAGAATCATTGAGCTGCTTTAATACTCGCTGCTTGGAGAAAATAATACAATAGTTCAACAATAAAACAAAGAGCTGCTTAATAATACAAACAATAATAGATAGGGACAGTCGGGGAAAAAAAGAGGGTTGCTTTAACTGATGAGCTGCTGGAATTTAGATATAATAATGAAAAGATAAGGAACTTCGCTTGCATCGTTTGATGAGATACATGGCGATAAGGCAACAAAAAACAGGCATGAAAGTATGGACCTCACAAGCGGGATACAGGCATGGGCAACGTACAACGCCATTCCGGCAACCACGGTGCTGGCGTTTGTGCGTGTCCTGTAACGGCGCGGAGTTTCCTGAACAACCATAAAAGGTCATTACACCTGGGTACATGCAGCTTCGGCCGGCGAGGCAGGCCCTTGTTAGCAGTGCGGTGTACCGGAGACACGCAACGATTGCTGCACGTTGCCGCCGTCCCAGGTGTGATTCGCAACGCGCTCATGCACAAATGGGTAATTGCCTGCCTGGGTAGCAGATAGCAAATAGCCATGAAAACACATGTGACCTCGTGAAGCGGAGCGTTACATCACGCAGGGAACAAAACAGATGCGTTTTGGCGTTCAGAGTTAGGCCTGGCGATGAATCCCAGCGCAGATGCCCCCCATCGCAGCAAGTTCCGTACAGCACAGATAACGCGGAATGTGTCCTTAAGGAACGAACCGCAATCGAAATGACGGTACTCTTGCCGTGCAAGCCTTCAATCAGACATACCTACACACCTCAGCTCCTGATAGCCACTTGGCCAAGCTCCTTTACTTTTGGTTTGCTTGACATATCAGCCTTGCGTGAATATGGCTTCCAGATCCATATAACCGGTTGCCCTGCAAGCATATCATGCTTTGCTGCAGAGCTTTCTTCTGCACGGCTACTTGTACATATCCGGTGGTCACACCCCGTCCCGTCTGCACAACGTCGTTCCTCTTGTCCGTAAAGGCAGGCTGTCACTGCTGCCGCTATACCTTGTAAAACGTGTTCCGGTTCCTCTTCGTCCTCATTGTCCGCTTAACCACATTACTTATTACAGGTCATCAACACACTGGCGCAGCCTCGCATCTTGATGCATATAGGCGGGCTGATCTATACACACGAAAGCAAGGTTCTTTTCCGTGGTCAGCACTTCCTCTTTCCGTTGGGCACCGATACCTCATGCTTCCTGTCGGTCTCACGCGCACAGCACTACTCCACCACATCTCTTGG